ATTGTTTACTCTGTAAACTGCTTTTGTACATATGTGTACAGTACAATAGACAATAAAGATAGGAATATTTAATTATATTTAATGATGCAGAACTGGTTTGCGAACGTTTGAAAAACTCAAGATGCTGATAAAATGTGTCAGAATATTTTGCTTTTACAGATAAGAAACTTCGTATTTGATATTTGTTTTCGAATTATCGGTAAGAGTTATAGAGACATTAGGATTTTTTGGAAGCAAGAGAGATGAAAAATCAGCAATGCCTTCGCCGGGACTCGAACCACGGACCTCTCGAATACGCGCCGAGCGTGCTGACCACTACACTACGAAGGCATGATAAGAAGGCTGAGAAATATATAATACCCCTTTGAAAGGACGACTGGGGTTTTTGAGGTACCCAATCGCCAAATCCCGGTGATAAATAATCATCACCGGGATTTGGCCACTGTAGTGCGATCCGGCCACTGTAGTCACTTTTAGTTCGGGCGCCACTGTAGAGACATTAGGTTATTTCGAAGCAAGAGAGATGAAAAATGAGCACCGCCTTAACCGGGGCTCGAACCATGGATCTCTCGAATAATCGCCGAGCGGGCTGACCACTACACCACGAAAGGATGCTAAGAAGGCGGGAGAATACCTTATAGAGTTACTGCTTAATTTTCCTTTCTGAGCGTGCAGATTCGAGTATATTATTCCCAAATCAATCTGAAGTTCAAGGTTTGAAGATCTTCCTCGTAAGATCTGCTGCGTAAAATATTAATTATTTTTATTTTGAAAATAGTCTCATTGCTTTCAAATTGAATTATTTGAAGACAACAGGTATAATATTCCACTTCAATTTAAACTCAACTGTATTCGGTACTTTTAATTTTCCTTTGGCAAATATAACGAATGTAATGCCTAAATTTTTGATTTTTCATGATAATTGTTCTTTGGTTTTTTTTTTTTTAAATAGAGAAAAGCTTTACAATAACAGTTAGAAAGGAAGTGTTTTTTACTGCAGTTCGTTTTAATAATTTTAAATGCCTCACATTTTTGGAATAGCATAATTAAGTCTTGTGTCAAAAGAAAACCTCAGTTTTCAGTGTTGAAAGAAACATATCAAACCATATAATAACTGTAATTAAAATTCTTTATACATCGTACTTTACTAAATTTTAGGAACGTAATAATGTGATGCAAAATGCTGCTCATAATACAGAAACATAAAATGTTTCATATACATTATATTAGTTATTAGTGTCATATATGTTTTTGTATGTATGTATATATATAAATTATTCATACATTTAGCATAAATAATCTGCCAATCGAAATGTGTAATTTAACTCTCTCTACTAATCCTTCTACATTCGAACCAACATATATAAGTCTCAAGTAATAACCCATGTACTCAATCATTTGTATCTTATTATTAACTTTGGTCTAAGTATATTACTAAACGGTGTTTTATTTAATTGTCTTTGGATGTCAATTTGTGTTATTTATTTGATAAATTATCATGCCATATCAATATTCTTTGGGAAATATCAGATAGTTTATCATATATTTCTTTAAGCATGCCAGACGTCATTTCCGAACTGCATTTTATTAGTAATGTAATGTAATTAGTAATGCCATTGTAATTGATTAATTCCGTAGGATAAAATGAGTTTTTGATTTACTATTTAAACGGTAAGTAGAAGTTTGCTGAACAAATTAAACTACGTTTGTCTTTCAGCGTGGTTTAACCAATCGAGGTAAAACTTATGAAACTGAAAGTTATGTGCTGGTAAGAATTTTTTAAGAGCATATTTGCAAAATTAATTCATCGAATGCGTTCTTTGATTTAAGTTACCGACTTATTCGAAAAACATTCAGCGCATCTTTCTTTGAATCCTAAAATCCTGCCTGAAAGTAGCGTGATATTGTACAGTAAAATCGCTTGTAACCGGCCCCTAGGTAACGGCGATATCAAAATAACGGAATTTTTGAAAGTCTAAATTTAATCAGAAATTTAGACCTATGAGATATGTACACAATGTAGAATACATGAGGGAACATGAGAATATACACAATAGAGGCTAATAATATGAATCTTTAAATGCTGAAATCTTTCGTGTTACATTTCTGCCGCCCAGTGTACCAAACTCATCATCCAACTAGTAAATCAAAGAATAATATCCAGAAATAACAAAATAAACTACCGATCTACTTTAAACATCCATGGGTGAATTTTCAAAGTAGTATTCCGAATTTCGAGGAAGGACGCTATATTTACTTTCTGTCTTTCCTGGAAAAATAGAAAGAATATTACTTTACGTCGCTCTTGGCGTAAATTGTAGCTATTATTACGTTCATAGATGACAAGTTCAGTTACAAAGGTTCTGCTGGTTTTCAAATACCTCTGGCGTCTGTGTCAGATATCTTAGACTTACTTACATATTCAGCGAAGAGTATTAGTATTAATAAAGAGGAGATGCAGGCTTTGATGGATGCAGACAATTCTGATTTAGAAGCAATCTCTCATGAGGACGAAATAGTCGGACATGTGGAGAAGGTGGATGAGGGGGAAGACGATACTGTGAGCAAGAAAGTTATGTGAAAGGAAGCTGATAAAGAATGCAGACTTTCATAAGATTTACCAAGAAATATCCATCTCTGTGCGTACATGATGCTATGAAGCTTTATTGTATACACAACAAATTTTTAAAACTGCTGTGACAGTCATTTAAGCAAGCAAGTATTCGGAGTTATATGACTTCATACTAAGAAATTCGTACCTTTCATATGATAATATATATGGTAACGTTAAAATGATGCTTTAAAAATTATATCTGTCATAAAAAGAAAAGTATGTTATGTGTTTTAACTTTAAATAATCTGTATTATTTTCCATATTATATATGTAATTGTGACCAATAGATCAAAAACACTACATACGGACATTGTATTCTGCAATTTCTACTAATGCCATCACAAAACATAAGCAAGTAATTTCTAGAACTGGTATATATCCAGCTATCAAGAAAAATCTGTAATCTGGTATCCGTCCAATACCGGTTAAAAGGGAAAGTATTAGTTAGTTTCAATTTAACGAAATTAAGGTTAAAATGATCATGATAAAAATCGCTATTCGTATTTTTGTATCAAAATTCATCTTTGTTGGAATATATAGAAAACTAAAGAACTAGTTTAAATATTAATTCTACCGTTGGCAGTTTTGACGTTCGCTTTTCAATCTCCATTATCTTCACTGCTATTCATTAATTCCTTTTGATACATATCCATAAGCATGAATCAAACGATAATTCGTTAGCAATAATACTGGACCTTGAATTGCGCCCTTCGGGCTTGAAGCAATTAAGAGACAAACTCGTAAAACTGAAGCATTGCCGAATATAGGAGACGTGCTATTAATACATTTTGATGTGAAAGGTAATTTCTAGGATGTTCGTATCCAAAAATCACTTTCATATATATTCAGCAAAATATCGTAATCTAACTTTTAGTAACTGTTTTGCAAGTTAACTATCATACTTGCCAGTAGGTCCATGAGTCACATAAGAATTTCATTATCAGAAGTGCGATATTCAGAAGTCAGAGCGAAATTGTACTTCTGGGAAATCAAAAGATGCAGTGCTGAGAACCTCAGTATAATTTCAGGGTAAAATCTAGAATTCTTTGCTTATTTGTGTATGGTGATGACTGTAATAATGGCTGCATACTTTAGCGAGTTGAAAACAAACTACCTGTATTGGATAAAATGTCTGAATTGGGGGAATTTAAAAGTGGAAAATCTATTGAAGCTCATAATAAGTATTTTATCTATAATGCAATGAACCGAAAAGAATGTGCATAAAAAAGAGACTACTGAAAAATATTAGAGCATGCAATCAAGAGTTATGAAAAAGTATGTAGAGCTACGAACAGTATAGCTCATAATTCATTCATCTAAAATGACATGAACGCTGTTACACCACATTATTTCGCACTGCTAAACGTGAGTGACTATTCTAACAGTATGCATGTTTTATGTGTGGTGACTATGTATGCAGTTATTGATGTAGAACTATATAAACATCCTCTGACTTACACTGAAAATAGTGTTTTAATGAACACAGTGTTAATGAAAACAGTTTTAATGAAAACAGTGTTAATGAAAACAGTTTTAATGAAAACAGTGAAAACAGTGTTTTACTTAAAACAGTGTTTGGAAACAGTGTTTTAATGTTTAATGATACGAGTACCTACAATGTAATAAATCTGACACATAACTGTATAAAATTACAAAATCGTGGTGTTTTTCCCGTTTTGAAAACTAATTTCTATATGTTTTATTTCATACAGTATTCAAAACTAGAATACCTGAAATGCCCTGTTCAAAATCTAGTAACAATGCATTTATCGAAAGGTTAAATTGCATTTCTTTTTTCAAAAATGAAAATAAAAATAAAGACAACTTCTTTCTCTTTTTACTTCCTCGTACGAAGTAAACGAAGTATTGTAATCTCGAAAAATTCCGCGTATCATATTTCAACGGAACTGTCTCTTTTGATCGTTCCCGGATCCATTTGTACGATTTCTTGTGCGACCTTTGTAGGAAAGGACAGAATAACGGACTCTCTTTTTTCAAAACACATTGAAAAAAGGATTTAAAACGGATTTAAAAATGATGGTTGGTAGTAGTCATATACTTACAATTACAAAAGAGTTTTAAATGACGAAAATATTCATGTTTTACTAATGTCAAATTAAAAAACATTTTCTATAAAGAATGAAATCTAACTACCTGCATAATAACAGTTTATATATGTAGTTAGTCTGACAATAAATCTTTAACAATATTTAATATCAAATAATACTTAATAACAGTTTATGTTGTAGCAAAAAACGTGTATATTTAGGAAATGCAAAGAAGCTAAGGAGTATCAACATCTAATTTTTTTTTTTGCTTGTGAAGGAAAAAAGTGCTGTTCATTTCTTCGTCAAATTATATGTAATATATTAATATGCTCCTTCAGGAGGAGGACGAGTGATGATTTTGTCACCAGGAGTTCATACATTTCCATTCAAGCTGGGTCTACCCTTGGGTCTTCCTTCGACATTTTTGGCAAAACATGGTTGGGTGCAGTACTATTGCAAGGCCGAACTGAAAGAAGCATGTGGCCTCACCCATAAGAATCAGCAGGTCTTCATAGTGATGAACCCCATCGACCTCAATTTAGAACCATCTCTTCTTATGGTAAGTTGAAAAAAAAAATGACTGATAATACATTTTTATGCTGAAAATTGCTCACAAAAAGAGCAATTAAAATTTCCATAGTTATTGCCTCATATTACACTGCATTCAAACTTTCGCAGCTTTATATTCAAGATTGGGACACAATACGCATTCTCCATGAGCACAGAAATCATCATTAAAATCTTTCTTATTCTTTTAACAAGTTTATTGATGTACTTATTGCAATGTAATGTTAGCAAATTCTCATAATTTATAGAAATGGTTTTCGCGCGAAGTCTCAAAATCGTTTCAACGTAAGTTAATGCAAACTTCGCATCAATTTTTAATAGTTTACACGAAAAAGTATATATACACATTTTTATCCATTGTTCTACTCTTCGCCATCTAATCTTCGCTAGGTCTAGACTTTGATTAATTTTATCTTTAAATTAACATTGAAAAGAGTTAGCTATTCTTTAGAACGCAATAATAGATAAAAAATTTAGCTATCCTCTAAGACTGTTCGCAATATAACTTCTAAGATTGTTGCAGATTTTACGAATTTAGTATACGTAATGTATTAGCTTTCCATTTTCCCAGTTTAAAATTTTCCATTAAAAAAAAATATCGGAGCCACAAAATAAATAAATAAATAAAATCTGTAAGCTTTGAGATTTTATATTACTCTCAAAGGGGCGTTTTTTTCACAGGGATTCAAAACGGGCTTTGAAAAGTGATAGAGATACTTAAAGCCATTTGACGTAAAATACCGTTAGATATTGTAACGTCTTTGCTTTGCTGCGCTACTATAATACCAGTAAGAAATGCAAAGAAACCTCGCGCATAAAATCAGCGCATGAAGATGTACGCAATGTTATTGTTAATAGAACGCTTTAAAATCGTCAAGTTAGTTAATTAAAAATTCATTAAATTTTTACAATATAGGAAATAGGTAATAAAACAAACTCCAAATTCCAAATTTGGGCTTACAGGTGCCCATATTCGAGTGGAGGACTATGCTATTCAAAATTTGATGTCTGTAGGTACCGTTGTTTGTACACAGTGCAAGAAACTTACATACATTCATGCAGGTTCTTCGTTATCTAATTTATTTAAGTATAATGCAGGGCGCTAATATTTGGTGGCAACAATTTGAAAAGTGAAACGCCGTTTACAGTGAACCAACGCAAAATGCCAAAACGGTTTAACATCGGTTTAAAGGTAACTATGCTTTTGAGAGGAATTTGACAGGTGTTTGAAGAGCTGGATGCGATCAAGTTCGCATCGTAGAGGAGTCACGAAGGTGGATGGGAATTTCATCGTCAACAAGCGTCGAATTATTGCGCCCATGTTACTGATGTACACTGTTTTCGGCACTAGATTCAGGAAGGTATATATAAACAGCTTGCAGGGTTAAGGAATCAACACAGTCAAAAATGAGGAAAAGGTTATTTGGCATGTCCAAACTATCCCATCAGACATGATTTCCTTTCATTCGGCAAGCAGTGATTTCTTCCCTTAAGATCTTCTGAATACCAGTATCTTGAGCAAACGGTTGTCTGTGTACTTCTGAATTACAAGAATGCAGAACATTACGACAAATTCCCCTGACATCACAGTAACGACACTTGAAGCTGCAAAGGTGCCGCTCATATTGCAGCCATGCTGTATGGCGGCAGAAAATATTAAGTGATGAGTTTAGTTTTTGTCTTGGTGAGTATGATTAACGCAACGGCGTGTGAGGCAACAGGGTCAGTTCCAAAGAAAACTCTTTATTGTGAGGCATCACATGTCAGACGGATAAATGTCATGGTATAGGACAGGGATGGGCAAACGTTTTCGGTCGCGGGGCCAAAAATCGTTGGAAGTGAGATGTACTGATTCTAAGGAACGAAGCTAAATGCTCACCTATCATTCTACTGAAATAATTCTTTCTAAGCTTCTAGCCTGATAATATCTTATAATCTATATTTTAGCTCTCTTCCACCACCCAAACTTCCGTGCTTCTATACGCTCGGAAATAATTTAAAAAGAGTTGATGCAGTTACCTTCTTAAACACACAGAAGAAGCTTTCATTTTATTGATGTCAGAGGGATATTTGCGTTAGTTTTTCTTTGGAAGGTCTTCCCGAAGACATCCCTTCCCTTCGAAGCAGGTATTCTTCGTTTGCTTTGCCATAATAAAACAAATAAAACGCTATAACATATTTTTTCCGACATACATCATAGTTGAACTTTAGGTTTTATTCCAAGATTGAGTTTTTTGAATTTAGAAATATTCTACTTTTTTTTCAAGTACCAATCTTAGAGTTTAAAGGTGAAAAGACGAAGAGTAGATAATCCGCAAAACCTGATAACTTGCTCCCAGGTAACTAGGAATTCAATGCTTTCAATATTTCCAAAAATACTAGTACTTGTTATGATTAATAGAATAATAAAGGGGTTAGAAAGTTTGCCAGCAGTACACAAACGATATTAAATAATTTAATGAAGTAAATATTCTGTTTTTCTCTTGTAAAATTAAAATAAGTGCTTATGTAACTGATCTCTATATCTTTGTAATTTGTCATGGGCAGAATGAAGGACTGTTTCTCTCAAAACGGTTTGCAAAATGGATTCAGAAGGTATTTTTTCTTGACATCAGTACGTACGTATGTATGTATGTATCGCATAACTCAAGAACGAGTAGACGTAGAATGTTGAAATTTTATATATGGAACTGCTATAACATGTAGTTGTAGCAGTACTCCCTTTTCTGTTGCAAATCGGCTGCACCAGTTGTATATAAATATATATATTCCCTCTCTGTTACTTGGCTTGGTAAGCTCAGTTTTTTTTATTCTTATACGTTGGTAAATCGTGCATTTTTTTGCTTTAAAATGATTGAATTATGTGGCTTTTATCTTCCGGTTAAGGTTTTTATGTCTTTTGTTAATCTGCATTCAATAATTCCAGAATTATATAGAATTTAAAAGTGGCGTGTTAAGCCTAATGATCCGCCATTTGTTTGCATTTGAAACTCAGCAGAATAGTAAATTAAGCCAGCTTTCTGCACCTTCAGTGTTTCTTTGTCGAGTAGAATCAAAAGTAAACTTTCAGTTTTGTTCACTAAAGTGCCCTCTTGCCTGCTGGCCCAATTACTTTTTCTGTGTAGAAACTCTAAGTTTAATTGTTAAAAATAGCTTTTTAACTGTTTTAACTGTATTTGGTGTTTTATGCTTTTTCTGTATTTTGCAATTTTTAATGAAGAGTTTTTGAGTTTTATGTATTTTTGCTTTGCCGCGAAGTGAGAACGGAATTAATTAAATGAAAAATAGATCTCTAATGAAATTTGAGGAAATAAGTTTAAAATGCTGCAAACAATGTGTATAGCTTAATAGGCGATAGAAGGAAGTCATGTGGTGTTCGCATCAGATTTGTTTTTATATTGGAAAAGTTTGTTCGGTATATGTCTAAGGACCTGAAACAAATTAATGACGTATACCGACGTTCCATTGTATGTTTCTCCAAGGGAACAGCGCTGGTTAGACAAATAGCGTTCAGCAATAATAAATTATCTTACATTACTCGAAATATGTGATAATATTAAGCATTATTTATTGTCACTTGATGCAACTTAATTGAAATATAACAATATAACAGTCACTTGTGTAGTCGTTCTTAATGGCAGTAAATCAATGAAAATTCCAATAATTCTCTCTATATAAATCAGTTTAAATTTTTAATGCCAATAAGTTAGAGCAAAAGCATTAGCAGCATATGCATTTCTTGTTTTTTAATAAATATTATTTTAGAAATACTAATAGAAAATTTAGACTATAAATTAAATTTAATCAGTTATAATGCTTAAGTCTATTAATTAAATGTTAATTATCCTTGTTTGCTTCAATTAGAGCCAAATGTTCTGTAGCAGGCATATATATTTGCCTTTCATTCGAAAATAGCAAAATTTGCTTTCAGTTCAAATTTTAGTATCTGAAAAGTTATTTTTCTACATTTTCTTACTATTTTCGCAATCAAAAACACTTTATTTCTCAATGGAATTTTTTAAAAAGTTATTCCGTGTTTCAGTCTTTCAGTGATGACGCAACATAACCATAATGACGTAAGAAGCATTTAAAGCTCTCAGTAGATGTGTCTCATTGCCGAATGAAATCGGTAGCTTTTAACTAAATGCAACGTGAGTTGTTTCTTTTTCTGAAAATTAGTTGCAATTAACTTAAACTTAGCGGATGGTGATCATTTATGATCAAAGAGCAAGTTAGAATATTTCTTAAGAAATTTCCACTTAAACTGCCGTAAGGAATAAAAATAAGTCTTAATTATACAGTCTAATAAGAAATAAGAACTAATTGCTTAGAATTTATGTTTCTAAACAAAATCAGTAGTTTCTTGGAATGGAAAAGGCGAGAAGTTCAAATTTTGAATGTGTAGAGTCTTTAGGTTATTTTGAAGCAAGAGACTTAAAAAAAAATTAATCTCTCGAATACGCGTTGAGTGTGCAACCATATCACCAAGAAGGCATGCAGAAAAGAGTGAGAAAATACCTTACAGACTTTCCCTTTTGAAGGACGACTGGGGATTTGAGGACACAATCTCCAAATCCCCAGTAGTGAAGAATCGTCATCCACCACCTTATAGTTCGGGCGCCACTGGAGAGTCATTAGGTTATTTTGAAGCAGGAGACGTGAAAAATAAGCAATTGCTTCTCCGGGACTCGAACCTGGACCTCTCGAATACGCTCCGAGTGTTCTATCATTACATAACGAAAGCATGCAGAAAGGAGAGAGAAAACATTAGATATTACGTAATACAATTTCTTTTTACTGAAAGTTAAGTATATCATCTATGTTATTTTTGCATATTTTGCTTCTGTATCAGTTCTCACGAATACTGTGATCTACTGAAAAGGCACGAAATTTAAGTTTTAATTTTCATGTCGTAGTTCTAAGGAAAACAGCTGTTGTATATATTTTTAATTGACTGGAAACTGAAGTTCTGACTTTCGATTCATAGTGATA